AAGTATTCAAAACATTTGTTCTTAGCCTTGATACAGTCTAAGCAGTTCAACTAATGAGAAGAGGTAGTTTTGCAGGTTTTATCAACTGTAAAAACATCAGAAGAATGATCACTGCTGATGAATCAAAAAACAAAGTCTCATCAAAATCACGTTTTGTTTTAAAATTTCCCTTGTTTCGGGACTTCTGTGCTGTTTCCTTTACTTTGTTTACTTGCTGGCTTGCCTGCCTGCTTGGATTCCAGTGCCATGACAGTGGATGACAGATACAGTAATTGTAAGATGCTCTTGACGCTCAGTACTCTATTTCTAGGGCACCAAGTGAACTGGGTGTTGTGTAATGTGGTCACAACATGTTTACTATTCTCTGGAATGAGAATTAGAGTATTATAGTAGGAGTTAGAGTGACATGCTATTTTTCGTCCCCTTTTATTTTTTCTTCTGCATTCAAGTAACTTTTGTATTCAGTAAAAATTTATCCATTTCTTTGTGAACACTAGAAAACCTTCTTCCCCCAGATATCTTTAGTTTTTCTGCATATGCATTCTAATTCAAAAGGTTTTAACATGCAAACAGAATATACTTCTCGACTAGTTGAAGGTTACTTTCCTCCAAGGCAATACTGGCATAGTAGCTAGTTCCTGGAGGACTGATGTTCATGAACAGTTACAGGGCCTTCACCTCTTCACTGTTCACTTCAGAAAACTTGTCTCCTTTGTCCAAAGTTGATAACTGTGGTCAGAGTCATGCTAATGGCTGAAATTATGTCACTTTTCGAGGAGCTCCAAAAGGATGAAGGCTTTGCTCTTTTGCTTTGTAAGAGCAGGATGTAATTTGGAGGGACGTCTTTTATTTAGAGAGCTGTTGGTTTTGTTGGCAAGTGTTCATATGCTTTTCGCAGCACCTAAGTACTGGATTTTGCAATCTTACTGTGCAAGGGTAAAATCTTTCACAGGTAAAATCTTTTTCAAAAGAAAAAATATTTGTTTGCTAAGATATGCTGCAATTCAGAAAGCCTGTGTTCATCTAAGTCAAAAGTCATCTAGTACAGACATTAGCTGGAAAAACTATGTGTAAGTCTGCTGGTATATGAACTAAATGTGAAAATGTGGTATTTTCAGATTGTCCAGTAGAAGGTAATATAGCTCAACTATGTGCAAAGAAACTTTAAGATGAAATTTAAAAATACTTTAATTGCTATGTTCTCTGCATTCTGTGAAATATTTGCCACATAAATATCCCATTACAAAAGTTCTCTGGGTGTGTGCCATATCTGATCCTGTTGTCAGAGCGCCCATTCCTTATGGAAGTATCATCTGGTATGTAGAGCTGAGTACTTGGGTGTTGTTCATATTTCATCTTTTGAATGATACAAAGGCCAGCACTACTCCAACCTTGCCCTGAGAAGGGTCAAAATGTGACATGCTGGCACCAGGAATTATTGAAGCACATTGTGACGTGCTCACCATGCTTTTCCAATGAACTTAGGCTGGTATAAATGAGCACTGCAACCTACAGTTGCACCTGAGCCCTACAACCATAAATTTTCCTGCCTCAGTTCTACCCAAATGTTTATGCAGCTGTTTAGTGAAGCAGATAACACTAAAACTCCCTTTTGTTCTTCCTTTCCTTCTGCATTACCTTTTAACATGGATCAGTTCCCTCCACTTCCTTGCAGATACACTTTTGTCATGGCACAGGGGAGGAACGGTGGCAGGAATCCATGGTCAAGTGTGGCGTTGTGGGGATGCGGCCGCCTTTGGTGGGTGGGCTTGGGCAATGACTGTGCTGTTCCCTCTCTCTTGCTCACAGCAAGTGAATTAGAGATACCCATGAGACACCAATTATGAGACATCCTGTCTCTGTGCTCATACTCAGAGTAAACTAGGAGCAGGAAAATAAGAAGGATTTTGCTTGTCTGTGCTTGCAACAGTCTGGTTGTAATTGAGGACTTGATGAACACTTGTTTCCTGTCCCATTCATTAACCTAACCTAGTTTTAAAGAAATTACCCTGCCTTGTGGCGGGAATGTCTTCCCAGATGATGTCAGTAGAAATGTATGTAGCTTGGGCAACTGGGGCTCTCTGTATTAGCCGGGGTAAATTGGGCAGATGTACCTATCTAGTTGGTATTAAAAACTACTAATCATTGTCATTCAGGAGCATATGAATGGTATTTCTACGAAAGCACAGGTGGGTAGAAAGCAGGTACAGAGGAAGAAGCTATTTGAGATGACTGAGACAATTAAATACGCAGGCAGACACTTTCACTAGTTTTGTTTTCTTTATAAAGGTTTCTTAAAATTCCCATTACCCACTTTGAAGTGCCATATGGTGACCCTTTAGGAAAAGTGTTAACTCTGTCCTTTTGGGAAACCCCAGGATAGCAATACTTGATCATGCTGTCACAGAAAGTACTTTATGTGGAGTTGAATGTTAATATCATGGGAAAAGCTGAAATCCTGAACATTTCTCTTATTTTGTCTTTGACAGAATAAGAGCATTTTGACATCTGGAAGGTTTTGGTGCTTATATATTTGGGCTTTTTAAAGTTTTTTGAATTTAAGGTAGACCAGGTAGGATGCATTAAGGACTTATTGATGTTCTTTAGGCACGTGAAGCATATTAGAAAAAGAAAAGAAATTTTGGCTTCCCCCTCACAACAGAAGCATTATACATAGTCAGTGAGAAGACTGTTTATGCTACTGGTCATCCAGATTTGGATGATCAGTGGATATAGTGACCATTTCTACTTCTTTGTGAAAAAATGTTCTCATTTACAAATGGACTGTGAAAAATACATTAAAGAATACAGCTTTTATATTGCCACTAATAGTGGTCTTGGATTTGAATGTAAACCTATAGGCAAAAAAATTCTCATGCATATAAATAGCATTCAAAAATACTAGTTGAATGTTAAAAGGAAGTATTTTTGTCAAAGAAACACGGCATATTTTTAACCCTGACCTCACTGAGGTTTTCTGAAATTCTGCAAGTTCTCAAGGCACATAACTGCCTTTTCCTCTCCTGTATAAACATCAGTGCATATTGTTATATTTTCACTATTCATACTGCCAGAAAGTGTTAAGCTTAAAAACATTAGTGTTTTCAGCTCATACAGCCCATTTTTATGAATTCTTTAATGTCTGATGTATTCCTTAAGAATATCTTCAAGGAGTTATATTTCAAGTAGCAGTGCCAAAATATTTTACTTAGGATAAAGAGCTCGGTACACTTTCCAGAATAAATGCTGATGCCGAGTAAATATTTTTTCCTGATTTATGAGTAAATAAGCTGTTGCTTTGAGAAGCCTGTATTTGTAAAGGAGAGTCAGAGGATGAGCACATACCTTTAGTGCAAAGAAGTATTACAAAATCTTCTGTACTAACCTAGCTGGTGCAGAAGTGACAATTCAGTTGGAATCGTCAGATTAAGTCTTCTAGAGACACAAGACCTAAACAACAACAGAAAATCCTGAAATACAATTTTAAAATATCCCTGAAGGAGGAAACCTGATCACAGGTCTATTTTTATTCCTCTTGTCAAGGTTGAATAGTTGTAGGGAAGGGTCGTAACGCCCTCAAGTGAGAAAAACTCATTAGTATACTTGCCCATTACATGCTCTGCTTCTCATGTGTTGTTCTGTGTTGTTAGAGACTGCAGTTGAGCCAAAATACATAAATGAAAGGAAATGAGACTGTTTAGATTGTACCGTGACCCCATCCATGTGACTTTGTGTGCCACCTCAACCACTTTTGTAATCACTGCTAATTCAGTATCAGAGGAAACTGGTCTGCAGTGATAGGGATTTGCAGTGTACCAAACTGCCAATCAAGGCCTCTTCTGCTAATAGAAGCTGTTATTTAATGCTAGACTATCCTTCCCTTGACTTCATAAACCCAAGCATTAATACTTGCATGTTGCTGCTAAATCTGTCTCATCCCTCTGAATATCTGTACACCAAATCATGGTCATTATTCAATGCTTTTATCAGCTGTTTCTGCATCAAGAGGGTACTTCATCCTCTTTCATCTTTAGGATTCACTTGCCAGGCAGTTGAGGGGGGTGTGTTTAACAGTTAAATAATCTAATTATATTCACCTTGCAGAAATAGTGGGATCAAGATTTGGCCTGTTTCGTTGATATGTTCTGTTGTGTGTTGGGAGTCTGACTGCCACCATCTAGAAATTTGATTTGTGATAATCAGCATGTTGGAAGAGGATAGAGGGAAACTGAAACGGTACTCTTTAAGAGTATCTCTGAAGCACAAGGCAGAGGGGAGTGTGCTGCTTGACAGCTTTCTTGCTAGGCAGAAAAGCTGAGTGGAAGAGTCCATAGCATGAATGTAGTAATTGATGAAGTTATATAAGTATGAATATCACCAATTTTATTTTGTTGCGGGCATTTTGTCTCTTATTTTGTTATTTTTGTTTGTTTACTGTTCTTTCAGTTTACCTGCCTGAGGTTGATTGTTGCTTGTTGTAGTAGTCCTCTGTAAATCAGATGGGTTTTTTCTCAAAATAAATAAAAATTTGAACCATTTAAGGAGATGCTGTCAACTGAAAAAATCACACTCAGTCTAGAATAAAGGAAATGAATACTCCTTGTATGGACAGAAGTCAAGGGCTTTTCCCCTATATGCCCTTCTTCCTGCTTCACTTCTGGTATTGAATAGCACCTTTACTTAAGTAATTTCATCCTATATTCAGTCCACTAACTAAACTTCCGTGAGTCTTCCCTGAAACTGCGTTAAAGGGTTATGTTTTAAAAATGTTAGTAAACATTTTTTAAAGGAAAATTCAAGGATCACATTATAATGAATTATTTATCGTTAAAAAAAAAAAACAAAACTAACACACACCCCCAAACCGAAGTACAGTTTACCTCTGTTTCTTACTGTCCTTTTTTTTCTCCTATATTTTGTATTTCTGTTACAACTTTTTATGTTGTCCAACTTTTAACTAAAACTGCAAGTTTTAAAGGAGCATAATTATTTTTTTTCAGAGTGTTGGGAAGAAATTACCTCCAGCCACAGCAACTCAGGAGCCAACAAAAATAGAAGTGGACAGCAGAACAAAAAGTAGGTTTCATAGTTTTTTTCCTTCATTGCACTTTGTGCTATTAAGTGTCTTAAAAGCAAGTTGGATATTTTTCTAAAAGACTGTCCTCTATATTTGAAAAGCGAGGATAGAGATAGATATATTTAGGATAAACTTTGAGCAGGCAGTACATTGAATGCTTTGTTTCACAGAATTCTCTGAATTGTTTTTGCTTGGTAATCCTACCTTGAATTTTCTACCACCAAAAATCAAATTAAATTACATGATTACATGATTACATGAGCCTCCAGCCTCAAAGGCACATCGGAATTAATCAGAGTTGAAGATACGACTTCAGACTTGTAGGTAGGTCACAGAAAAAAATGTCTCTGGTGTGAGTGCCCTTGCTTTTTTCCTCTCTATTTCTTTCATTATGTAGCCGAAATCACCTGTGTGGGTGATATAGTTTGTATGGGGAATAACAGTTTCCAAGAACTTCAGTTCTGGTTATGTCATTTCAATGCTTAGTAGACAAAAAGCAATAAATAAATCTTCTAGGCAGGTTTCAGTGCTGTTCTAGGGAGGCATATGTAAATAGCTTACCAAAAAAACGAAGTTTATATTCCCCATCATTTGATTTTATTTATACAAAGTTACAACTAAATGTAATGGATTCTGGTAGAAAAGAATAAGGAAGAGAATTTAGCCATACCTTAGAAAATAAACTGAGTATAATATAAAGTGAGTTTTTAAGTCGTGCACAGTCTTCCTTCCCTGATGTGTTTAGCATTTTAGATATTTAGCAGATAACGCTTTGTCTCAGAACTGAAACATAAGACATAAGAAGGCAAGCATTTGGATGAGCAGACCAGACACTGTCTGCAAGAAGTGTACTGTTATGACCTGGTTTACCACATGTTTTCAGCTCAGACTTGCAAAAGCAGTTTAAAACAGCTTTTAATGAGTTATTGTCCATTAGCTGCACAACACTAATTGACCTGCTGCATCCTTTTTTTTGTTCCACTTGTGACATCAGGCTGTTAATGGGACTCAATTGCCTTGAGGAAGTGAGAACTTGAAATACTGAAAAATGTGTGAACCGGTAGCCTAGGGCAGGGCTCCTGAACTGATGTGTTTTGGAATTACCTTTCCCAACCTGCAGTTTGAGCAGATAAAACTAGCCAGAGTGGAGGTGTCATCAGAAGGGGTGGTCCCATGGGGTTTCCCACCTGCAGCACCATCCAGGCTTGTGTGGTAAGCCAGACTGGGAGACAGCTGCCTCTTTCATACTTCTGACAGCTGAAGCTGCTCACTGAATCATATCCCAGGGCACTAGGGTTTCATTTTTTTCACTGCTTAAAAACTAAAGTGGAAACCTTCTGGAACGATATTTAGAGAAATGTACTTTCTACAGTGACACACTGAGCTCTGGCTGACTCTCAGAGGCAGTTCTCCATCAACTCGTTTGGGCTCTGATTGGTACTTACTTCAGCTTTTTGTTATTTCCCTCAGATGTGCCATTTTGGTCAGAAAATTCCTCTTCTTGCCATCTATTTTTACCATGATTGTGTGCAAATATCATTCAATACCCCTTTTGCCAGAACTAGTGAGAAGGGTGGGCTACTTATTTGTACAGTATCTTCTACATGTCCTCTGAATTTTACCTAAACTTTATTATTTAGGATATTTTACCTTTTCTGGATTCTCTGGGGCCTCAGTAGAATATTCTGTTCTTGCTTGGGAAAGAGAAGCACATGTATGGGAAGGTCCAATATCATGTAGTTTAGATATAATAATGTGATTTAGATTCCCTTGGGTTTACTACTAGAGATGTATACTGCAAGAAAGAGAGGAATTATGTTGGTAGGTTTTCACCTTCCACCTATTTATTTCCATGAATGATGTTGTTATTCCCTAGTCTCAACTGGATAAAAAATGCAGTTGTGCTGTTGAAGAGCCTGCTGAGAGAGGAAACAGGGAGCAGTAACATCTTCTGTCTCTGCCCACAGGAGCTTCAGTATGGAGTGATGGTTGCTGATGCTTCCCGCATGTTAATTTGAGTCTGCTTTTTTCCTATACCGTTTCAGATGCGATAGGCAGTGATTTGCAGCAAGGCACTCGATGTGCTTGCTGTTTGCTCTTAGTACATGCAAGATGGCCTAAGCTCTGCGATGGGATGAGCTCAGCAGTGCAAGAGTCAGAGCAGTATGTGCTATAGGTGCATCTCTCAACAATATGCTATGTAAATCTCCCTTAAAAAGTGGGCTTAAGGTTTTGGGAGATAAGCAGGTGACTCTTCAGGGCCAAAGAGGACTTTCTGCTCAATGGGAGAGCACAGTGAAAGTACAAATACTTAAAGAGCTTAAGTAGTCCCTTGGAAAACATCACTAACATTTCAGGAATGAAAGAATGCATCTTTTAAGAGGGGAGAGCTGTTTGTTTTAGATTTGTGGGTGCCTAGACTTATAGGGGAATTATTCCGCTTGTACATTTCTGTCTCTCTTGCATAGCTGGGATGGCATATGCATGCATATGTATTTATAATTCTGTCTCTGGTGTGATATATATCGGGTTTTCTATGAAGTAGCTTGCTTTTAGTTTAAGTGGCTTGTGGTATAAGGGCTATATTGTAGAAAATATATATACATTTATATATTTGGATTCTAAAATTCAGCAGAGCAGAACCATCCACAGTGATTGAGAGAGCTACTGCAGATGACTGAGATTGCAAAAAAATGAAGGAAAAATAAGCAGATAACAAAACAGCAAAGGCAGTCAGTCACAGAATGCATTGACCACAGCACTTGATTTGATTACTCCACTCACTGACTATTTGCAATTTGCTATTGCATAGGAATACCAAAATCCTAGCAAGCAACTTATCATCTTGCTTGGTGGCAGAACATATGAGAAGTAGCTGAATCTGGATTAGCGGGGCCCTAATTACTTCTGTTTCTGCTTTTTGTCTTGATGAGGTTTGGGTTTTTTTTACAGTTTGCATCTCATGAAGTTCTCTGAAAATATTGATTAGTGTAACCCGTTTATGAGTCTTTAGTGTAGCAGTTAGTAGTAAAACCAGATTCTGCTGAAATAAGTGGATTTTTTTCATTTGGTTTGTGGTTTTGGTAACAATTACACAATTTTTCACTAGATTTTGTACATTTTATTCCATTTCTGAAAAATAATTATGAGTAATAATTAAAGAGAGGAAGCTTAAGCTCAAGGAACACAATTTTTATGCTGCTTGTTTTCTTACATAGTATTACGGTTTGTGTCTATATTGTTTGGTGTATGATTTAGACTTCATCAAGGGGGAAATATTCAATCTTCAAAAATCAGGTACACACTTTGTTGTTTGTTTCATTAAAGAAAAAAAAAAATTCAGTTTCTGAAAACTTAAAAGGGTGAATCCAGCTCAGTGGTTAGCTTACCTGAGATGGAGGAAATCTTGCCATGGGGTGGAACAGTTCTTGCCTAACAAGAAGGAAGCAACAGCAGCAGTTAAGTAGAGGAAATTGTGTCATCCTGGCCCAAGAGGAAAAGCAAATTCCAGACTCACTATCCCCTGTGAAATTTAAGCTTGAAGGTATGTTTGTCTGTGGACTGCTGTCTTGAAAGTCACAGCTCATCCTAAGGGTCTGGCAGGAGGACAAATCCAGGAGACATGCTTTTAAAGTGAAACACGGTCCACCGATACAGTAAATGGAGTTTGCTCAGTTCTGGTTTGCACAGTATAATATTTAACCAGTCTCAAAATACAGTCAGATGAATTTACCTGCTGTAATATTGCATGACCCCAGTTCATATAAAAGGTCTATACGTTGACAGCAGTGCTTTACACTGCAATTGTACATGTATATCGAATTCTATTGGTGAAATACAGTGCTTGCAATGGCCTAGGTATGAAGTAGCTGTATTCTGTAGGAAGGCTATCTCCTGCTGTCATTCCCCCTCTTTGAGGTAGTGAATGGGGAGAGAAGTGCTTGAGACTGTATAAAATATGTTGTGTTTTGAACTTGGGACAGACTGTGGGATGTAAGATGCTGAACAGAAAGAGGTGCATGTTAACTACGGCCATAAAATATCCAGTTCTTTTTACAGGATAGATAGCCCATTTATAGTGTTTAGGATGGTTCTGACACTTTTTTCCTCAACAGAGTGTGGGCAGTGACACATCACTTGTAATAAATATCTAGTTCTAGCTTTTTCTTCCAACTTCTGAGCTACAAGGATGGTGCTAGGAAGGGGAATTGCATGTCACCCTGGGCCCTTGGGGTCTGTTAGAGAAGCTAGCAATGTCTTTGTTCTTCCAAAGGACAGGACTAGGAGGGACATGGGCAGAGAAGATGCTTATTGTTGTGTCATCTTTATACCCAGTCTAGTTGAAACAGTACAGTTCAAAATCACAGAATGTAACCAAGGGTACGTATTTTCAACTGGGATTATTCCTAGCCCAAGCCCTCTCAGTTCACAATATGCTGGGCCAGAAGCTGAATATTGTACATTAGATCCAGACTGTTTAAGTTGTAAGGTTTATCTGCTCAGTCGGTTCCCTGAGCAATGCCCATTGCCTATGGCAGGTTGTTCTCCTTTGCTTTAGGGGAGCTGTGAGTTTGCAGGGAGAGACTCTGTGGTCTGACCAAATAAAATATTGTTGAATTAATAAATGCAAATGGAACACCTCATGAGTATTTTCTTTTCTCCATTGTTAATGTTTCAAAGTTGTCTGCTGTTGGGGGTTTAACACGTATATTTTTGAAGAGGTCTTCAGGTCAAAGGAAAAAAGAGGCTTCTTGAAGAGCCATCTATTGATGTATAAACCCAGCCTTGGATGTCAGATGTAAAAATAAGTTTTATCATCTGTAGTTGAGGAATGCTTCATATTGATATCTTATTTGAAGCTTTAATTTGATTTGTTCAGCCTGGAGAAGAGAAGGCTTTGGGGAAACCTTCCACTACCTAAAAGAGGCCTACAAGAAAGCTGGAGAGGGACTTCTTACAACGGCAGGTAGGGACAGGGCAGGGGCTTTAAGCTGAAATAGGGTAGGTAGATTTACATTAGATATTAGGAAGAAATTCCTTACTGTTAGGGTGGTGAGACACTAGAACAGGCTGCCCAGAAAAATTGTGGCTGCCCCATCCCTGCCAGTGTTCAAGGCCAGGATGGATGGGGCTTGCAGCAACCTGGTCTAGTGGAAGATGTCACTGCCCATGGCAGGGGGCTTGGAACTAGATGATCTTTAAGGTCCCATCCAACACAAACGATTCTATGACTCCATGATTCTGTTATTCCATGACTTAAATCTATTTGCCAGGCTTATAATAGGACCTTTTTTTGACCTTTAGTTTTTTGATGGTGTTTGCTTTTTTTGTTGGGGTTTTTTTTCATTCACTTGGAAAACACCCAAGTTCAACATATTCCAGTGTGGTCTTTGCAGTGCTGTGTCTGAAATTAATATTTCCTTTTATCTTTTCCTCCTTCCTATTTAAATATAACAGCTGAAATTAAGGTCTTCTACATCCTTTTGTGGTATTGTGCTGTGTTGATTAAGGACAATTTTAGTACCAAAGTGACATAACCTATTAATCTCTGCTTTTATTAATCTGATTTTAAAGGTTCATATTACTTTGAGTCCTGTTAGCTTTGGTTTTACGTACTTAAATTGTGTTGGTCTATCATTTCCTTAAGAGAAGTTTGAGACTGACTTTGTCCAGTCACTTAGACGGTTCCAGACCCAGCTCTGTTGCAGTGTCATCCACATGGTTCTTGTTAGGCAGGGGAATGTTTTGATTTAGTGTATGTCAGTGCAAATTGCACTCCAGAGAGACCTGGCTCTTCCATAGGTTGTGCACTGTATCTGTCATTGTGTCCTCTCTGCCCTGTTGGAGCCTCAGACACCCAAAGTGTTATAATGCAGGTTTTCTATATAGTAAGTGTAAAGAAATAGGTCCTGTTGTTTCGATTTAATTTGTATTTCTGTGGCCTGCAAGTAGCTGTTTCTCTGCATCAAACATGACAGTTGACTAGATATAGAGGTCATCAAAACTGAGACATTTAAAGTGAGGAGAACACTTCTACATAGTCACATGCCCTTCTACAAAGGGTCCAAGAATATCTGTGTGTGTTTCTTTGATCTTTTAAACCTGCTGTCTTAGAGTATCATATATTTTTTATACATTATTTAACAGCTGGAATACATATTCCCTTTTTATTTGTAAGGCACATTGACATACTTGTCTGTTGCACAGCAACATGTTGTAAGTAACTGCTTTTCATGACAACTGCTTTTTATGATTTCTAAGTAGGAGTGCTGGCTCCTGTATTTTCCAGATGAAAGGTGAGATGTTGCATTTATTTATAGATGGTAAAGGGAAAAGGGAAGAGGAAATTTTAGACTAATATTCAAACCTTTTATGCTGAGTATACAGAAGATTTATTTATGAATGCCTTTAACTTTATTAATGTATGATTTATTATTTTACCATCTTCATAAATTCAGAAATACCTTCTTTCCTGCTTATCAGGGAATAGATAAGCTATGTCAGCATGCTGCGTCTTTTATGCTTCCAATTTTTGTGATCTGGTGGAAGGCCATACCAGTAGAACTGTTGAAGCAAGTGTCAGGTGCAGGCTTACCCTAAGGGAAATGGCTTGTGGCAGGTTGCTGTCTGGAGCAATTTCATTTGAGGTAATGGTTCTAGGGGCTACAGAGCCAACTCCCTGGATGACGTGTGCAGGAATGCTTATCAGTGTGAGGTTTGTAAATATTTCATGTATTTATGAAGGTCTAAAATACAAAGAGAAAGATGGCAAGAAAATAAAGCAGCAGCAGGAGGCACTTGTGGAATATTTTATGAAGATTTTCACCCTTGGATAAGCAGTTGTTAAAAAGTGATAATTTATCATATTGGATGTTCTTCCTTTCAGCCAAGGAGTATTGCAAAGTGATATTTCCATATGAAGCACAGAATGATGATGAGCTCACAATCCGAGAAGGCGATGTCGTCACACTTATCAGTAAGGTAAAAGCAATATTTTTTTTCCTATGAGCGGGGATCCAGTTTTTAAAATCAGTATCATTCAATTGCTATAAAATCCCTGTTTGTGCCTTTGACAGTGTCCTGTCTAAAACAATGTTAGTTTGACACTGAAACACTGCATAGACTTCAGAGCCTGTATCTCCCTTCTTTTTGTGCTTTAGAGCCTTACCTTGATGATGTTAAGTGAAGAGCAGCACACATGTACTCTTGAGTCTACATGTTCATGCAGCTAATTTTAATTTGAATCTGCTGGCAGATCTGCATCCATAAATTGTAAATTGATCCCTGTATCAGACATAAAAGCTAGACAATTAACTGGAAGGCTCATGAAAGCAGGAGCTTTGAACATCTCTGTTAGGTGTGTGTGTTATCTTTCTTGTAGGAATTGTGAATTAGATTTTATGGGTTAGATGGAGATAATGTGCCTATATTAGCTTGATGAGCTAAACATTTATTTAAAATGTAGCCACCCTAACACTATGGTAAAACAGAAAAAGATGATAAAACAAATTAAATAATTTTAGATCTGTGTTCTTTTCTTTAAAAATACTTGAAATTATTCAAGATGAGAAATGAAACACCAGTCCCAGGATTTATGTTAAATCTCCAAAAACTATATTGTAGATGGTGAGTAAACAGTTGGCTTTCTTTTTAGAAGATCTGTACACCATGTTACAAAGAACAGATTATAGTTTAGATGCACCTTATTTCCTGCTGTTGTTCGAAGACTTTTGTCGTGGTTTAAACCCAGTCAGGTAATTCGTTCGCTCACTTCCCCCCCTTATTGCCCTCCCCCTGCTCTCGGAGGGATGGAGAGGAGAATCGAAAAGAATGCAACTCCCACGGGTTGAGATAAGAACAGTTTAATAACTAAGGTATAACACAAATCACTACTGCTACCACCAATGATAATAATGATAAAGGAAATAACAAGGGAAGAGAATACATCATCTCACCACCAGCCGACCGATAACTCGCCCCCCCCAGCCCGACCAAGCTCTGACCGATACCTCCTCCAACCCCGCAGTCTCCCAGCCTTTCCGGCTCACTCCCAGTTACATCCTGGGCATGACGTGCTGTGGTATGGAATACCTCTTTGGTCAGTTTGGGTCAGGTGTCCTGTCTCTGCTTCCTCCTGGCTTCCCCTCCTCCCTGGCAGAGCATGAGGCTCACAAAGTCCTTGGCCAAACCAAAGCATCGCTATCGGCTCTGTTCCCAAGCTGAAAGCCACAACACAGCACTGCACCAGCTACCAAGAAGGGGAAAAATGACTGCTACTGCTGAACCCAGGACATTATCCACCCATTATACCATACCATTCACGTCATGCTCAGATCCCACATTTTCAGTATACCATCACTCTTATCTAAGTGCATGGACCAGTCCCTATAAAGCTGCTGAGTCCATCTGGTCCATGATGTCAGGCTCCATCTCTTGTAACAGTCTTCCAGAGCAGGAGAGACTGTGTGCAGTGTTCACACTCGTGAATAACCTGGGCAATAGTGTCCATTGTTAAGTCCACCCCTTGATCATGAGTCCATCTCTGTGTTGCATCTCTGCTCTGATGGCCTGAAGTGCCATGGGCCCACCAGACTTAAAATAATTCACTGTCCCCTTCAGCAGTTTCTGCAGCTTGCTGCTGGGGACTCCATACAGCTGCCTTCCATCTCCGATGCTTCCAAAGCACTGGAGGGGCCCAGTGGACTAGACACTTGCCCATACTGTCACACACACCCTGCCACTCCTGGCTTTCCAGCCTTGGAGAAAACCTCTTGGTCCCCCCATATCGTTGTCTAACTGCAGACAAGACCCAAACCTGACTCTGCTCAACTTTTGAGATCAGACAAAATGGTTGTGGGTAGAACACATTCTGTGTGTGTGCCAACATCCTGATCCCTATCACAATCAGCAGGCAGGTCCCAAGGATACCCAAAGGCCATTCAAAACCTTCAGAACTCTCACACGATGCTGCTGTACTTGTCACTGGGGCTGGTGTAGCTGCTGTGCTTGTCACTGGGGCTGGTGTAGGTGCTGTACTTGTCACTGGGGCTGGAGTAGCTGCTGTGCTTGCCGGCTCTCCCACCACCAGCTTCTCTTTTCCTGAGTCCAGCTCTTCCTCCTCTGCCTTGCTGGAAAATGCTACCTGGTCTCCTGCGTCCTCCTGGGGCTCGGCGGGCGGCTTCCGGGGAATGCTCTCGGCCGTCGCGGGGCTCGGCTCGGCCGCGGGGATCGGCTCCTCCGCGGGGCTCGGCTCCTCCGCGGGGCTCGGCTCGGCCGCGGGGCTCGGCTTCTCCGCCGCCTTCTCCCGCTGCTCGGCAGCCCCTTCCTTCCGCTCCTCGACCGCCCCGACCTCCTCCACCGGCAGCCGTCCCCTCGCGGCCTCCGGCCCCGCTCCCGCCGCCGCTTGGTCCCCGGGGCCGCTCTCCCGGGCCGCTTCAGCAGCCGCCGGCTCCCGGGGCCGCTCCCCCTCGGCTCCCCGCAGCCTCACGAAGATGGAGAGTAGGGTGAGGGCCAGGCCGGTGAAGAGCAGCCGGACGGCCAGGTACAAGTCCACGGCCACGTCCGTCCCGCCCTGCTGCTGGAGCCCGCCCGTATTACAAGCCATTGCCATAAAGCACAGTGAGACAAGAACCTTAGCCCAGGCCCCACACTTGATAAACACTATCACAGCAAATACCGGCTCTACGTAAGTTACAACATTCTGAAGCTGTGAGATCAAGCGAAACAACTCTGAGAGCCAATAAATCGTCACTGTGATGAGTGACTATTAATCCAGTCAAATCTGTCGTTATCTCAACCCTTCGTGCCCCACGTTGGGCGCCAAAAAGAACTGTCGTGGTTTAAACCCAGTCAGGTAATTCGTTCGCTCACTTCCCCCCCTTATTGCCCTCCCCCTGCTCTCGGAGGGATGGAGAGGAGAATCGAAAAGAATGCAACTCCCACGGGTTGAGATAAGAACAGTTTAGTAACTAAGGTATAACACAGATCACTACTGCTACCACCAATGATAATAATGATAAAGGAAATAACAAGGGAAGAGAATACATCATCTCACCACCAGCCGACCGATAACTCGCCCCCCCCAGCCCGACCAAGCTCTGACCGATACCTCCTCCAACCCCGCAGTCTCCCAGCCTTTCCGGCTCACTCCCAGTTACATCCTGGGCATGACGTGCTGTGGTATGGAATACCTCTTTGGTCAGTTTGGGTCAGGTGTCCTGTCTCTGCTTCCTCCTGGCTTCCCCTCCTCCCTGGCAGAGCATGAGGCTCACAAAGTCCTTGGCCAAACCAAAGCATCGCTATCGGCTCTGTTCCCAAGCTGAAAGCCACAACACAGCACTGCACCAGCTACCAAGAAGGGGAAAAATGACTGCTACTGCTGAACCCAGGACAACTTTGTAGTTTGCTTAAATGTTTTTGACTGCTGGACATAAGTATTAGGGGAAAGAAAAAAAAAAGAAGCTACAAACTAGAAAAGGCCATGGCTTTTGCATTATGAAGTTGAAGAAATTATGTGTACAGTAGTGCTGCTGTTGTTTGTGCTTATATGAAAGTAAAAGAATTAGTTCTATAGTTGATAAGTTTCATAAGAAATTGTTATTTGACTAAGCATTTTGTCACCTGGGCAGAAACCCCCAAAAACCTGGAGAAGTACATCTGGGGCAGTGTTTGCTATATGCTAAGCCATTTGCAATCCTAGAGGATATCTTTGTCCTGAAGAATATACATCTAACTAAGGAAAAGTAACCAGATGTTTGGCAGGAAGAGGAACTGCAAATTTTATAAATGAAATGTGTACATTGAATATCCTACAATAACTTGCCCTCCATGATTTTTTCTTTAGGTTGTCTTGAAAACAGTTTGGCTTTGCCTGATTTAGAATGTTCTTGTGTGAGTATTAAACAATGTCTCTGATCATGGAAGTGGCATTTAAGACATTGTTCCTGTCCCCTTTACGCTATATTGACCAGGTTGATTTAACTCTTTGAGACAGCTGGTCTCCAGATGGAGCTATGTTCTTCAATATATGCAGACAAAGAGACCATGACTACTGAGGTTTTGATATGAGATTTCATGTGCTTGATTTTTCCAATTTTTTTCTTCCTGCTGCTCTGCCCCACAATGAAAAGATATCTGTCATTTATAATAACTCAGTTGATGATTTGACTGAATTGATCAGATCTCACAATCATGCAGTGAGAAGTTTGTCGGTATAGTTTCTAGTATATCCCCTTGTCCTTCTGTTCTCCAGCCTGATGGTAGCAAGCCACTGCAGATATCTTATTCAGTTTTTTTCTTTTTTTTTTTCCTCTGGTATGTCACATGTCTATGAACAATTACATAAGACCACGCCTCTAGAGTGGGGGATCTCAACAAAAAAAAGGTTTGACATTTCTCCCTGGAAGTTTTTTTATGCTGTGTCTGAACTAATGTGAGATACTGAGTAAATAGTGCTTAACAAGGAGGCACTTTGCAGTTCCTTTTGTGGTTTGTAGACCTCATTGCAGTCAGACTTGTGGTTGTTTTTTTTTTGTCTGTTTTTAATGCATAGTTTAAAAAATAAAATTCAAGTGATGTGGAGTCAAGGCCCTTGATGTATAGTTCTGAAAACAGTGGGGTCTCCTCCATGCGCTACCATGCAGTGTAGTAACTTTATTTGAGCCCAGGTCTTCTGAATTGGGTGTCTGTTGACATCTTTCTTTTAGTCAGCAATAACAAGGTCAGCCTCGCCTTTCTGCCCACCAATGGTTTCTGCTAGAGAGTTAACTTTTACCTGGAATTGAAATCACTGTGCTTAGAGTCTCCTTTCCATGACCAGTGATCCATACTGACTGAGAGGAAATAAATAGAAATCTATGGACTACTTCAGAAGCTATTACCATGGTTTTGCTTTGTTATCAGATTACGGAGTGTCTTTTAATCGATTTGCAGGAAATTGTTTTGCAGGGCTTGCTTTCCATGCTGGAGAGCATTAGACAGAA